TAACGAAAATGAGAAACTCTCTTTACATAAGATGGTTTCATACTGTACACCTAAATTGAACTTAGGTTCTTCCTTTCGAAAATTATTCTGTTAACTGGATTCAAGAAGGAGGAAGATTTTCCGGGATGAAACCTTCTTCCTAAAATACACAATTTTTTTTTTTATTTTATTGATCAAGGTTTTTTTCAATAAGTGATTTGAGGAAATACAAAAACTCATCACAATATGATTTATTTTTAATTTATAAGGGATATAATGTGATCAAGTGACAAGTAAAATTATACGAATATTTTTTCTAATATGTACTGTTTGAAGTAATTAAGATAATTTTAAATACTAATATTTATAAAAATAAAATAAATAAATAAAATAGAAGTTTAACTCCTCCCGAAATTGAATCTCGAGTCCGTCAACATATGACAGTTTTACATTTAAAAGATATTTTATAAAGTTTACATTGATAGTAAGGCAAAGTATTTTGTAAATCCAATATGAGTAACGATATTTAGAAGTCGAAGTTATTAAACTATTATTTATTTATTTTTTCTGTGTTGGCCTTCATGAACTAAAACATTAATTTATCGTCCATAGTATTTATAGTTATAATTAAAGAAAAAAAATTGGCACCATAAAATTGAATATTGATTTCGCTTCTGAAATAGGCAAATTTAATCCAAATTGTTTTAATTTTTAAATAAATTTTTATCTTTTAAAATGTTATAAATGGCTGAAACGTAAGTGAATAAAAAACATGAAGTAATACTCATGGAATTACGGTGTATCTATATTATTCTTCATTGAAAATAAATAAATAAATAAATATCCTTCATTTAAAAATAAATTAAATAAAACTACTGCAAAATAATAATTCTAAAAATAAATAAATCTTAAAAAAAATAATAATAAAAAAAAAAAAATAAAAAAAAATAAAATAAAATAAAAAATAAACTTAAATTGATCAATTCTCCACTGGGCTTAGCCCTAGTGACGCGGTTGAGAGAGGAGTGCAGGGAACTCCTGGAGTCATACTTTTCCCTCCACAGTTGGAGGGACAAGTCTGGTTTGGAGTTCTCTCGCCAAGTTGTAAATATTGTATATAGGTGTGTATGTGTTCTTTTTATTTATTTATTTTTAGGTTATTTTATTCTGGTTTATTGTATATATATTATTTTTCTGTATAATTTATTTTATTTACTGTACATAGAGTCTGAATGTGATCTGTGAACACTATTATTAATGTCCCTGAGACAGATTGTAATATATTTCAATAAATAAGCTATTAGAGAAATTGATCAACATTTTTTTTTTTTTTTTTTTCTTACCCTCCAAAATGTTTATTGAAACAATTACATATATAGTATACAATAATACAATATATACATGTTATACATATGTTAATTCTTTCAAGATAACAACTTAAGTACGGCATACTTATATACATTATTTGGAAGCATTCATCGAGAAGAACTCTGGGAGATCTCCGCACCACTTATTAGGAATAATTTCTGTTGTCTTGGCTTGGGTTCTTTTAATAATAAATTAAATGCAGAAATCAATACTTAATATTTGCTCGCCTATTGGCAAAAATGTTATAGCACTGTCAAAAGTATTCATACAATATTTTTATATAGCACACTCTTGTTTTTTAGGAAATATACATTAGTATAGGAATATATTTATACGAAATATAGCCTCAACTGGGAAAGCTCATTCTAATTAAAATATACTTACAAGCTTTAGCAGTATAGATGTCGATATATTATTTACACAAATAAACATCTAATAAATAGGTATGGTACGTATAAAAAAAAGGAGGTATGTTTTTTTGGAGGAGATAGATAAAAAATCGCGATTTCAACAGTTTACTATAAATCGATGAATATCAGTCTAATTATAAGACAGGAGGGGAAAAAAAAAGCTTCCAGAAATTATCGACGAAAAGAAAATGACTGTAGTGAAATCGACGTTATAAAGGAAGAATGGTATTAATTAAAGATTATCTTAAACGTCTTTTCCAATAGTGTTGGTAGACGGACATATGATATATTATTTACATGAATTGATTTACAGTAATTATACATAATAGGGACAAAAAAAAGGAAAATAACGGTATATTTTTTGGAGGAGATAGGCTGGATGGGCTATGTGGGTGGAGGGGTCAACGAACCCCCGGATCAGTGGGTCAAACTAACGGGTGGTGGTACCCACTCACGCTTCGTCCATAGCCATAACCAAAACTTGTTTATTTCACCATCCCACCCTGTCTATGATACCTAGTCCCTATAATAGAATATATAGCTCCAGAAATAGAAACCCCAATCAATATATAGAACACCAAAGGAACAGAGATATATTTCAGCGCATAGACCTGAAAGATGGCATCAGAATGTAATTAATTAACAAAAATTAAAAGATTACTTTTATTTAAATCAATATTTGTTCATAATAATAATAATAATAATAATATTATTATTGTTATTTTTACTTTCATCTACATTCCCTTGAATGTTTTTTTACGGGATGTGGATGCTATTCCAGAAATCTGAGAAAGTGAAGACAATAAAAAAAAAAAAAATAATAGAATTAAATTTCGTATTATATAAAAATAAATATTTTGTAGACAGGGGCCGATCAATGGGGGAGGGTAGGGTTTCGGGCCAAAGGCCCTCTCCAAAATAGTAAAATATAACTATCTTTTATGAAAAAAAATATCTCTAAAAGTATTATTTTCGTCTAATTACAGTTAAGAGGACTTAGACTTAAAACAAATCACTTAGAGAAATCACTGAAATCACTTAGAGACAATTTCATATAGGTAGTTAGTTTCTTTCTTTCTTCCGAAGTAATTATCCTTAGTGTTGCCCAAAATCGGTCTTGGTCTTGCAAAGTGAAAGAACAAGAGCAAGACCAGGACCAGTAAAAAAAATCGATTTTTTGAATCAAAATTAAGGCAAAATATTTACTAATACTTGACAATCTTAGTTACTATATGTAAAGAATTGGTATAACCAATACACTTTTCCTCTAATTTTTCATTAGGTCTTAGTTAGGTTTCTCCTATCTAAAAAATTACAGTGATATCTCTATATCAATAAGCTAATAAATAACTGCAAGACTGTTGGGAAACTCTTGCGCAAGACCAAGACCATGACCAAGTCTGAGTTTGCAAGACCAAGACTCGTCTCGGTCTAGCATTTGTGCAGCACTAATTATCCTAATATATTTATAAAAAAAAAAATATTTCGAGCTGAAGCCCTCCCCTCCAAAATTAAATCCTAGATACGTCAGTGTTTGTGGATAATAAGCAATTACTCATCACGTTCAACAACCAGATTTTTCCTCTAACCTGCTGAAAGATCATGTAGACATTTTAATGAGGTTATCTGTGCTCCAAGCTCATGAGAAGAACCCAAGCCAAGACAACAGAAATTATTCCTAATAAGAGGTGCGGAGATCTCCTAGAGTTTAGCTTTTTCCTTCCAAATGTAAGTTCAGGATAAATTCAGCTTGGAATTCTTCTCAATCAATGCTTGTTAATAATGTATGCCTGTACTGAAGTTGTTATTTTGATTAGTTTAAATTTATTTTTTCTAATCTTTAATTATTTTAGAATTATTATTTTACAGTAGTTTAATTTAATTTATTTTTAAATGAAGAATATTTATTTATTTATTTTCAATGAATAATAATAAAACTACACCCGAATTCCATGAATATTATTTTGTTTTTGTTATTCGCTTACGTTTCAGTCATTTATACCATTTTAAAAGAGAAAAATTTGTTTAAAAATTAAAAATATTCGGATTAAATTTGCCTATATCAGCAGCGAAACCAGGATTCAATTTTATGGGGCCAATTTGTTTTCTCTTAAATTATAACGATAAATACCATAGACGATTAAATAATGTTTTAGTTCGTGAAGGCCAACACAAAAAAAATAAATAAAATAAATAATAGTTTAATAACTATTATTTATTTTATTATATTATATTACAGTTAATACTGTATATACGTATATAATTTTAAAAGAGTGCATATTGAGTGATTGTTTAAGTAGTTACATCAGATCACTCACAGAAAGAAATATGGACCAATGAAAAAAATATATATATTTTTTTTCTATTTTGGGGGGGTCTTCAAGCAGAAAGCTACTTTTCCAGCAGTGGATCCGCCTCTCACATTTTTACAATAACCTGAAGTTGTTTTTTTCCCCTTGAAAATAGCCTAAAGGGCTGAAAAGTAAGTAAACGAAAACAAAATTAAGATTTCTTATTTGAAATATTTTTTTTATTTTATTATTATTTATTATGATACTTACAACTGTATAAAAAATAATACATCTAGTAAATTCGTACATGGATATAATGACATGAAAAATATGTTGAGAAATTACTCACTGGTAGCACTCTAACGATATGTCTAAATTAGGAGATCAAAGGGCCATCTTCTTGAGAAACAAAATTAAATTATAACACAATTATATTAAAATATACATTGAACAGAAACTATATTCTTTACAACCCGTTCGAAGTTGAGATTTTTTTTTGATAAATTGTAGAAATATAACTAGAAAATAATTTCAAACAATATTCAACATTAATATATAGATTTTTTTTTTTGAAGACCAGGCGTTATAGTTACCAATTAATAAACTTTACAATTTTTTAAAAAATTAACGAGAGATTTCGGGTAAGGCATTACTTTTAGTCAACCTTGTAAGTCATGGCAAAAACAAATGAAAAAAACGCAAGGTACAATGTTACGTGTAAATGAATAATTTGAGACCTTGAAAAACGTCGGTAACTATTGTCCCATAGCCCCAGTCAAGGCTGGCAGACAGCTTTTCAAGAGGAAATGAAATTCACACATAGAAATCTGCCTATGAATACCTCTATGGAAATCATCCGGCTCTTGCATTTAAATGAAAAGTAGCGCAAATTGGTTTTTTTTTTTTTCCCTATAGGTCACCAATACTACAGCGGTGAGTCGTTTATACAGGAATGTCGCGCGATGGCGTAGCACGAGGAGGTCCTAGCAAAATGGCGAGCGAGAGAGAGGTGTTATGTAAAAGGCCTGTTACCAGTGAGTAAACAACACTATTTAAAGCCTAAGGGAGTATTCAAAGTTCCTATTTGGAGAAGAGGTACATTCTTCAGAAAATTGCACCATGTTTCTGAAAACGATTTTTAAAATATCTTCCAAGGAAATTCTTTCATTCAAGGCCCAAACCTGAGAAACTTCGGATGTACATGATAGACGAAACAAAGTGTAACATATCTGTTATTAACTTAATGTGTACCAGTCCTTAATATCAGAAATGCGGGCGAGGTACTGCACCTAGAGGCACTGCGATCTCTTGGACTCCTGCCTTTCCTTCCATAATTGGGGAGAACGGCTTGACTAGGAGATCTTGAGTGAATGAATTTGGTAAATATTGTATAAAAACATGTGTGAATTTAAGTAGTTATTTTTATCAGTTTAATTTGTTTTGCTTAGTTTAGTTGCTATTATTTTTTGCACATAGTGTGAATGAGCTACTCTCCTACCACTGTTACTATTGCCCTTAGATGTGACAGATTGTAATACATCTCAATAAAGAATATAAATAAAAAAAAAATTAATGTGATGACAATTGTAGGTTAGATAAACTTACAGGAATAGTACTGTATGAATGCGTTAGTGAAGAGGAACATTTTTCTTAGAAGTGAAAAAAGTGACATTCTATGAAATAAAAGAATGACTAAAAGACTAATTATATTGTAATGATAGATTTTAGAAATTTTATGAAGCGGTTCATGTTTGCAGGATCTTCAAAATGGCTCCTAAAGACGAAACGTCGAATAAATAATACAGGATGTAAAAACTGTGTACATTTGGTTACCTTTGGCCTAATATTTTACAAAAAACCTATGAGAAAATGGCATCGAACCTGAATGATATCACTAAAAGAATTACAGCACTGTATTAAATTCACAGAGACATCTAATGTCATGAAGTGGTATGATCTTGAGTTTCTTTTCGGTCCTTATGATGCCCGAATTAGCGAAGCTTTTAAAGGGTTATTATATTCTTTACTTGAATTTTGGAGACAAAAGGCTGTGTTTTTAGAATTTTTCCAATTATAAAGTCATGATATTTTTTCCGAAAACATTGGAAAGAATCCTCTAAAAGAAGTATTCATCCAAAGCTCCCCCCCCCCCCACCCGAAGCACGGCACACTGACACACAAACCGCCCTCGAGCCAACCAGTCGATAGCACGGTTGGGTTCGGCGACCTCCTTCGCACTTGAAGCTAAAATTAAATCCCTAGGCCCAGCCGAATTAGTTCGGATGCGAAATCATCCAACTTCCTCCAGAATAGAACTCTCTAAATCTGAGCGCGAGTTACGGACATGGGGGGATTACATGGGAGATACCAGCCGGCTAGGCAATGCCAATCCACAAATATCGCTGTTAGCTATACGCCTCTGTCAACTTAATTATAGGATAGGAGGAGGATAAATATTTCCAACGGTATAAAAAAAAACCTATCTTGATAGGAATCGAATTATATTGTTATATAAATAAATAACTCGAAAAAAAAATGGTCTGCGATAATTATATTTTCTTTAACCTAATTTTTAATTAGGAAATTAATTGTAATTTCTACTTGAATAAATATATTTAATAAAACAACATATTTGATCCTTAAGCCTACATTTTATTTCACCAACGTTTCATGATAAACAAAGTAGTCTAAGCTAGGACGCCTAGTTTCTTAAAAAAAAAAAGAAGTTATTTATTGATAATGTTGAAAAACATAACTTGGGCTGATCTGATAATAGAGGTCTTGTACTTTTAACATGTCATATATGTACAATAATTTTCAAGTATTTTTTCTATAATTTATAATTTTAAAAACAATGTAATTTGTTTTTCTTCCTTAAAAATGGTCTGAAGCTCAGGAACAATTAGTATTGCCCAAATGCGAGACCGAGAGGAGCCTTGGTCTTGCAAACTCACTCTTGGTCATGGTCTTGGTCTTGCACAAGAGTCTCGCAACAGTCTTGCAGTTACATATTAGCTTATTACTATAGAGATATTTTTTTAGATGGGAGAAATCTAACTAAGCCCGAATGAAAAATTAGAGGAATTAAATGTAAAAGTATATAAGTATAAGTATAAAAGTATTGGTTATACCAATTATTAACATATAATAACTAAGTTTGTCAAGTAATTGTAACTATTTTGTCTTAATTTTTATTTAAAAAATCGATTTTCTTTTACCAGTCCTGGTCTTGGTCTTGTTAGGCGACATTGGTCTTGATCTTGCAACGTGCTAGACCAAGACCGATTTTGGGCAACGCTAGGAACAATAGTGAAAAAAAAAAAGGATAATAACACGTTTTGTTTTAATATTAGAAATATAATAAATTACTAACCGAATATACTAAAATATATCTAAATTAAAAATCGCTGAAAATTATTCACAATGATTTATTATTGCTAAATAATTATATATTCAAAATCTCTAGTGTGCTTCATTAAGTTATCCCAACAAAGATATCTTTTTATTATTTTTTTTCTTTTAATACTTTTAAATATTTTTCAAATGGGTTATATTATGTTATGGGAGATGTATTTTTCAAGCTACCAAGAAACTAAAATGGGTGAACTTTCAATGGCGTACACAGTTCAAAACATTATATCTTTGCTAGTAATTCATTTTTTTTTTTTTTTTTTTTTTTTTTTTATAGAATGTAATTGAATATCTTTGAAATGATTATATAACCAATGTAAACATTTTTACATATTCACAAATTAATATTTGTTTTCTTCATAATCATTCCTGTATATCTCGATAAGGTATTATAAATATAAATTTAAAATTCTTTAAATAGTATACTTGGGGAGGTTTCATCAACGTTGTTAAAGCCGTCATGATGCTAAAATGGTAAAAGCTATAGAAAATATATATTTTTTTTTTTGTATTGTTATTGCGCTGCAAAAACAAGGAAATGCAACAATGTCGGTCATGAAATTATCACTTCAGACTTCATAAGCATATCAAATTACAAGTTGGAATGTGCTTTGATATCAATGTATACGAGTAGTGGTTTCCTATTTCTGTTAGTTGAGCGTATAGGAAATGTACACAACCGAGGGTCTCTTGGTAAACCTGGTTTTCGTCTCTGTGTTAAGTGGAACAGTCCATGCTGAACGACGAAGAAAGCATCCGAGCTGGAAGTATTTATTTTTGACGTTTTATTTTTAAATACCTACAGAAACAAAAAACCAAGCATTCCACCACGTCCCAGGGTTTATGGATAGAAATAGTCTAACAAGACTAAAAGAAAAAACGTTTGTACTTTTTTTTATTATTATTATTGTTTGTTTTTTTTTACATACAGTCAATCATTAAAAATATATAAGTATATTGCATTGAATCAGGAATGATGCACCACTTTTAAATAATATTTTTTTAACTGTTAATTTTATATTAGCTGCCTCATTTGTAAAATCTCATATTTTTCTGTTCTTACAATGATTGAATTGAATGAACCTTGATTGATATGTTTTTTACTGATTTTTAAGAGATAGACGTTTTGTTCAAAAATTTTCCAATTATATCTTAACATTGTTAAAGTTCCGTATCTTTCGTTAAGTTCTTAATCTTATTAATTAATGAATCCATTAACATGCCTTCGGCGACCGGCATTCACTGTTCCACAATGGTCAAATAGAGTTACAATTTAAATTTAACAAATAAGCTAAGAATGAGGCGCTAAAATTTAAGCTAAAAATATGTAAAAACTAATTATAAATTATTTATCCTCTACAATATTAAAAACAAAATGAAAAAAAAAAAGGTTGCATTTTCTCACCTATAATAATAATAATAATAAATTCTTTAAAGTTATTTATTGAGATATATTACAATCTGTCACAATTAAGGACATTTATAATAGTGTATAATAAAAAATAAATTTCATATTTAGTTTTAATGATTTTTTTTTTTATTCATTGATATTTACAACTGTATTATTAAAAAATTACAATTAGTAAATGTGCACTCAGGGATATAATAAGATGAAATATGTTGTTGAGAAACTACCCACTGATAGCACTCAAATAATAAATTTACACAAGAAGATCACGAGGCCATCTTCTTTTCAGACGCCTCGGAGTGTTATCAGGGATCGAGGAGGAAGTAAGGTTTGAAACGAGAGGGTTCGGATGGTTCTGCAGTTTGTTAAGTTTTAATGTTATGTTATGTTTTTTCTTATTTATAATAATATAGATGAAAGATATGGTCCGGGGTGGTGGTCATAAAAAGACTAAAATAATGGAAAAACTATTTTATTTCAAGCCAAAGTTTCGACCCGATTTTGCAGGTCCTCTTCAGGGAGGTGTGTTCAGAAAGGAGTTTCAGTTAAAACTATCGCCACTCCCTCTAAAATATACAACGGTCAACCATTAAGTATTCTATAATAATAATATTTTGTGTTTAGTTTTATATTAATTATATTTTTCATGCCCAAATTGATATGGCACATAAGATCAAGAACTTTTTTTTTTTTTTTTAAATAGTATTTAAGGTAATCCAATAAATAAAATAATATTGGAATTTGAGAACCTTAGAAATAAGTTATTTAGAGAATTGGAAAATTGCAAATAAATTAAATTTTTCTACGGTATGGAATGAGCTATGAGTTATAATTAAAATAGTGATATGTATTTTTTATATTGTTTAAATATGCAATCGCGCAAGTTACTTAATGACAACACTTAAGTAATAATTTTTAAAATATATATGAGCCTTTCAGTTGACAGCATGACTAACTCTAATTTTAAGATTTTTGATTATTAATTTTATTGATTTTATTATTTTTTACTGTAAAAATGTATACCTTTATTCAAAGTTCTATATTTCAACTCTACAATCACCTATACTCTCTGGAATCAACTTACTGTCTGTAAAGATATTATAAATTATACAACTAGACATATCACTAAAATGACTTTACTCAAAAATGTTGAAATTGGAGTCATTCTGTCAACTGAAAGGCCCATGGAATAAAGATTGGATTTAACACAAAAATAAATCAAAATATTTTCAAAACATCACTTCACCTTATCACTTCAGAGGTTAAATCAATAAAAACCTGAATCCAGTATCGTGGAAAGACTTTTGTGATGCTAATTGCCAGCTTTGTTCTTTTTTTTTGTAGGGGGTGGGGTAACAATACCCCCCCCTCTCCGGCTACTTTGACACTTTGTTGAATGACAATTTTAAACCGACTGTGATATAAAAGTTCCATTCAAAGTGCTCACAATAGAAGCTTCAATAGAGGTGATTAACTGTAATTAAAGTCAGGAAGAGGGCTTGTTATTACGATATTTATTCATAACCTATTTCTGGTGAATAGCCCTTAATTGTAGAATAATTGACTCGTGTTACCTCTCGGCTTCCTGAATAAAGGAGAACATTTTGCCATTAAAGAAAAAAAATATGTTTGTTTATTAAATTAAGCTTTGATTAATAAATATGATTTAAATTTTTAATATATTATTAATAAAACAAAAGATTTGAATTATTTTTCATTATAATGATATCCATAAATGAAATTCTTATTTTCAGATTTAAATTTAGAAAATCCTTTATACTGAAAGAAAAAACAATTTAAAAAAAAAAATTTATTTCATTAATTAATAGCATCTATTAAGGTGCAACATGAAATGTGCAATTTAAAGTTTTATTTAAAAAAAACTAAATTAGCAAAACAATTTTCAAATTGAAGAACGTTACAATCCTTTTTAAATTAAAACATTTATTAAATTTACAACGAGATAATAAATGAGTAAATCATTAATTAAATGAACTTTTGTATACTCCAATATTTTCCAAGTAATTTTGGACAATAATACTAATAATATATTTAATGGAATTAAATATATATATATATATATATATATATATATATATATATATATATTTTCTTTGATGAACCGAAACGGCCTAACTATAATGTATAAAATCAATTTTACCTTAATTAATTTTATTTTATTAGCTATTAAAATTACTATAAGTGAATTAATTTTAAGTTAAATTATATTCAACTCTGCTAATTAGTTAAAGTACCATGCGCATCTCTTATGGAAACAAAATTTTCACAATCCGGTTTATTGACTTCTATGATACTGTTTTCAAGGTTGGGTTAATTTTTTTTTTTAATTATAGAAATCATACGAAATTCACAAAAACCTCCTTGTAGTAAAAAAATAAAATAAAATAAATAATAAATATAGCTCAGTAGGAAAATTTGATGATATTGTCGTGTTTATGTATGACCTTACCATGTCCAAGAATCGAATTTGTTGAAATACCTTAACTAGAAAAATTAATTAATTAATACCTAAACCCTACCAAAAATTAATTTTATAGATGTAATCTTGTTACAAATTAGTTAGTTACGATCAGATAATATTCGAATAAATAACTAAAATAGATAATTTTTACT